CTTAACATTTCTCTCTACAAGTCTTTTGTTTCTAGACACTTTTCCTATCTTCCCTTTCAAAATTTCCCTTTCTTGTACTAGTAATGCTGATATTAAAGGTGACAGCTAATTCTATGCTCTTGGTTTCAATGTTAACTTTATCTTCTCTGGACTTCATGAATTCAGAAGTTAATTAATTCAATATATACTTACTGAGCCTCTTGTATATTAGGCATTATTTTAGATGATAGAAATATAAAAGCAAACATGTTAAAGTTCCCGTTCCCATGGGGCCTACACTCTACTGTCAGGGAACAACAAGAAAGAAAACACCAAGTAAAAGGACAGACAGTAGCAGGGACACATTCCACATGGGTTTGCTATAGGTTGAGGGGAGAGAGAAGGGACTCTCATGCTTTCTAACTGGAAGTAACACTTGCTTTATTCTGTGTGTCTCAGGAGGGTTATGACAGCAAATTTAAAGAAAGTTTCAATGAATAAATTCCTTTTATAGAAAAATTCAAGGTGTGTTCTCAAGGGAAAAAATTCCTCAGCATATAAGAGATTAAATTTTTGGTGATGAAAGGGAGATATAATCACCAGTATGTCTTAGATTATCTCTTTCACTGTCAACTACTAGTTCCTCCTTCCAGATCACAGAAATGCCTGGGGGCCTTAACATCACATCTAAATCCTTTTATTTATTTATTTTTTTGCACTCTTACCTACAGAATGAGGGCACTGGACTAGATATTAATAAAAATAGTAACTAACACTTACTGAACACTGACTACTTTCTGGAGATGGATTCAAGTTAATGATGACAACAGCAACAACAAATAATAGAAGCAGAGTACATGGCAGAAGCACTGTTTAATTCATTTTACATACATTAACTTAATAACCTGTCCAACAACCCTATAAAGTAGGCCATTAATAAAACCATTTTTACAGGGGCGCCTGGGTGGCTCAGTTGCTTAAGTGTCTGACTCCTGATTTCAGCTCAGGCCAGGATCTCCGGGTTGTGAGATTGAGCTTTATGTTAGGGCACTGCGCTGGGCGCAGAGCCTGTTAAGAGTCTCTCTCTCCCTCTGATCCTCCCTCTCCCTGCACTCTCTCTCAAAAATAAATAAATAAATAAATAAACAAACCCATTTTTACAGAAAAATTGGGATTCAAAGATGAGTTAATTTCCCGAGGCCACAGAGAAGGTGGAGAAGTCTGGATGCAAAGCTGTGCAGTTTGGCTCCAGAGTTTATGCCTGTAATACCTCACCTGCTTCTCACAACAACCTCCATTTGAAAGATGAAGAAACTGAAGTACAGGGAGATTAAATACCTTGTCCAAAGTCACAGGCTAATACATGGTGGTGTTACGATCTGACCCAGAGGCATTCTGCTCCAAAGCCTCAACTCTTAAACATTATGTTTTACCACTTCTTGTGAAATTGCCTAGACCCCTTTCGGCTCTCTACTTCTATGATTCTCTTCCTGTCTGAGTATTGATTATATCCAGTAAGACTCATGCTTTGTTGACATATATACCGTGTTTTATAAAATGTTTTAGGCGTAAAGCATTATTTACATTCTTGAGTTTGATAAGGTAAATCATCAATTTCAAAAGTTTGAAATTTTGTTAAGAAAATCTGTTCTCTAGAATTAGCGAGAAAAAAAGTGAAGAAAACTAGAGATCAAGTCAAGACTTCTGCAATGTTCTAGGGGTCACTCATGCATTTCTTTAGGTAAAATCCTTATGATATTATGACATTTATAGCACATTTTCAAAAATTTGAAATATTGTATCATAAAAACTCTAGTTATGGCCAGCTAAGTGCAACTGCACTGTGTTAAACCAATGGCAGTTAATATTTTAGTGCAATAAGCTCAACAGTGCAACCATTAAAAAAAAACAAAATTAATAGCATTTAAACTCTTACTAGGGGCTATTCTATTAGGGAAGAAGAGAAAATAAAATGGAGACTTTAGGAACAAGTCTGTGTAGGTTTAACATTTTTCTGTCTCCTGGTGAGGTTATCTAGGGCCTTCTTTCCTGTAACACTAACTTGTCTTTTCTGATTGGCTAGAAAAAGGGTATACAACCAATACAATCCTATTCATATATGTCAGGGACATGTTTCCTGCTAAGAATGCCAAGAGGCTCCTATGTTCTGCCAAAATAGACAAGTCAGGTTCATTTAGAAGGAGGGGACTGGTATTCTATGTTCAACTACTGTATGGCCCCCACATCCTTCATGATGACAAATAATTACCCTTGCAGGGGGCAGTGTAGATAAAGAGAATTAGCAAATGAATTTTCTCAGCTTTAGCTTTGTCTGGCATGCAACACCCTAATCCAAATAGCTTTTTGGCTGGTATACATTTTGCCTTGTACACCCGCAGGATAAAGTCATTTGGAAAGGTTCCCATCTTCACAGTATGTGCCCCTTTCCACAACTTACCTCATCATCCTTTTTGGCTGTGTTTGCTAGTGAGAGGTCTACACATGTTCTCATCATTTTAAGAAGTATAACACCAAGACACAGACTTTTCAGCCAGAACTGACTCCAAAAGAGTGAGATCACCAATAAGCAAGGGCAGTGAATCCAGGGAGTGCAAGGCCACCAATATGTGTGAACTTATTAATTGTAATTATTATTTTTTCTAAGAAAAGGATTTCCTTAGTCAAACCTCCAGGGCATCAGATCAAAGGGAGATACTGCCACAGCTGGACTATATTTTCCAGCCAATTGGCCTGGAAAGGAGAATCTAGACAGTGTCCTGGCAACTGTTTAACACAGCAGCAATCCATAAAAGAGGAAAAAGAATTCTTCAGACCGATTTTTAAAAAGGTCTTCCTTTACTTCTCTTTATTTTTCAGGACAGTTTAAGAGTAATGTCAAAGCTCTAGGGGATGTCCTTGGTAGACACTCTATAAGATCCACTGACCCTGAGAATTCAGAGCATCCTTTTACAGATAGAACCAAAAGGTTTTAGTTCACAGTACAATTTTTTTAAAGACATATATTTATAATTAATTATCATAAAAAGTATATTCCAAACCTACTGGCAGAGTATTTGATCAATTTTCTAGTTCCAGTTTGATAAAGTCACTATAAACCTTACCAGGACACTGTAAAATCACACTAGATAAGGTAGTTTATTAATAAAATCACAATAGGAGAAATTTAATTATATGCCCTGGAAGTTCTCCCAAAAATGTATAAAAAGAAATTATAAAAGTGACTATTAACACACAAAAAGAAAAAAAAACCCCACAAAACCCAACCCCACTATGTCAGAAGCATAGCAATACACACAGGAATCATGTGAAAATGATAAAACAGAGGCACACCAAACAATTTCATGAATTAAAGAGAAACAAGATGTGAGAATGATTGTGTAAAAAAAAAAAACTGAAAGCAAACAAACAAAAAACATTTCTATAGTTAAGGAAAGGTGTTTCTCACCGTTCTGAACAAAATGGCTGAACTAAGAGCATCTGATTGGCTATGCCCATATACCCTCCTCCTCATCCTAGGGGAGAGAGATGACAAAGGGAACAATGCCCCAGAGCAGCATGGGAATGAAAAAGAGCTGGTTAGTATTTAAAACAAAGACATAAGCATAATGTAGAAGAAAATGGTCTCTAATTGCTTGACCCTTTTTTATATTAGATTCTAACTCTTTAAATTCCCTAACCTACCCAAATTAGTAATTAGTTTGTCATTACACTTCTACTTTCCTACCCTTCCAAGACACTGTCTCTGTCCCAGGGCTGGATCTGGGCAAAATTATCAGGTTGGAGGCTTTTCTTTATTTTTGCCTTTTTTAAAAACTTTCCTCATTTCTGTTTGCTTCCCACTACTCCCAGGCATCCACTTTCTCATATTTATTCATTATCAAAACCTGTTTCAAGGAAAGGATCTAATACTCATCTTATATACACTGGCATAAATTTAATTCTGGGTATCAAGAACAGGCAGAGATAGCAAAATCATTTCTTGGCAAAGAAAGACGGCTGACATCAGGCAAACAGTTCTGCATTCTGCCTACATTAAGATTGGTATTGTTTTCCCTCTAAAATATAAGGCTTGCCTCAACTGGCTTAGTAAATGTCATCATACTGTGACTATACCTTCTGAATCTTAGAAAAAATTGCAATTTGGATATTACTGCTGTTTTCATCTGCAATATTTCTTCTTCTAAGATAATATCACGGCTATCATTCAGTGGAGATATTTAGTGGGGGAGTTTCCCTTGGCTCTTTAGTCATATGGATGTAATTACTTAACTATTATTTTTTTTCCTTCTGCTATATATTTTAAGATTGAGTGTGATATAGATGTTGAAATCTGATTTTTGGCACTGGGATATGAGGTAATCTGTTCACCACTCTCCCCCATCCATCATTTTCAAGATCCTGGGAGAGCTCCCTTCTTCCAAAAGACTGGAGTTGAATATGGTTCCCTTCAGACTCATCAATGCCTCTTTTGCACTGCTGAGAAGTTGAAGGCAACAATTTTCCTTGAGAATAACATATACTGGAGGGATTAACCAAGGAAATGGGAGAGAAGAAATTTTCACTCTTAATAATAGGTGATGATGAGAGATTTAAAGATTTGCAATTAAACAACAGTTATCTCTAAACAGAATTGTGTTTTATTGAGCTCACAAGGAACAAGTCTTTTTTTTTTAATAAGGCATTGTTTTAATAAGAAAAGTAGGACACTTACAAATTAGTATGTATCTCTGAGATTAATTTTTTTCTCAACCAATTCAAGGATTCCTTATAGTCCTCAAATCTTTTGAGTATCTCCTCTTAAAATATTCAGAATCATCTATCATCACCTTCCTGTACAGAAATTGAATCTATGTTTAAAAACATGAGTGAAGGAGATTTCAGAAATTAATTATTTATTTTTATTTTTCTAACTTATACTCTGGAATTTGTAACATGCTAGTATAAGATACATGAAAATAAAAGCACATTTGTTTTTATAAAACATTCAAGAACAGTCTTACCTGGTCTGGGGAGGGTTTATGATTGGTTTGATTGGAATGGGAGGATTTGAAGTGGTCATCCTCATAGTTGTCGGCCATTAGCTTCATTCGATTTTGTGTCTAAGAAGAAATGATTCATGAAGTTAAACTGAGATAAAATTTCTATGATACACTGTAAAGTAACAAGTCTTTTAAAAATGTCATTAGAAATAATAAAACTAATTCTGTCTGAAATAAAATTAAACATAGGACTTCTGAAGATATCAGGGAAAGAAAATTAGGCACTGCTCTGAACTGAATTGTGCACCCCTTCCCCACCCCACCCCACATTCATGTTGAAGCCCTAACCCTCAATGTAACTATATCCGGCTAGAGTCTTTAGGAGGTAATTAAGGTTAAATGAAGTCCTAAGGGTGGGGCCCTAATCTGATAGGACTGTGGCCTTGTAAGAAGAGAAAGAGATCATTCTCATTCTCATTCTCAGTCACTTACACTCTTTCTCTCTCTCCCTTTTTTCTCTTTCCCTCCCTCCCCACCATGGGAGGAGACAGTAAGAAGCTGGCTTCTGCAAGCCAGGAAGAGAGCTTGCACCAGGAACTGAATCAGCTGGCACACTGATCTTGGACTTCCTAGCCTCCGGACTGGGCTTTAAGCCATCAAGTCTATGGTATTTTGTTATGGCAGCCCAAGCAAACTAAGACAGGCACCTAAATTAGTAAAGAAATTTTGAGGGAATGAGTAATCTTCTCAAATCAAACCCTTTATGCAGTGCTTGCTTTATTTTTTAAAATAAAGACTGGATTAAACCATACCTAGGATAGGACTCTGTAACTGTTTTTTCACTTCATGATATGTAGGACTCACATTTCCATGTTACAATAAGAACTACTCATTTTTTAAACAACTGTTCCATTTTGGGGGATGTTACATAACACACAGACCATAAATATTGGGGAAAAAAGTTATCATTATCCATAAATGAAATGATTATATGCCTAGAAAATCTAAGAGAATCAACTGAAAAACTATTACAACTTATAATAAAGTTCAGTAAGATGATCAGACAGAAGCTACATACATAAAATTCAATAGCTTTTCTTAACACCATCAATAAACATTCGGGTTTTCAAAATAAGTCAGAGATTCTGAAATTCTTCTCTTCAACACTAGGCTAGAAGATTATTATCCCATTGTCTTTTATCCATGTTTACCAAAAAGGGCTGGATTGGTGATTCTGTGTGACTGGTTAATACAAGACCTGAATAAATGAATGAATACATTAAAAAAAATATATATATATATATACACACACACACATAAATGTATTATATAAATATAAGCATAAGGATAAATGGAAATATAAATGTAGAGGCTGCTTTTAGGCAACAGGCTTGAGCAATGGAACTTGAGTAAGATGAAAGGGCCCACAGCGACCACCAAGCTGATGCAAACAGGCTCATTAAGCGACCCATGTTGAAAGAGCCACAGGCCATAACTAACCCATGCGCTACATACAACCAGGCACGGTTAACCAAAAAAGGGAAAATTCAATACGTTCCCATAACTCCTCACTCTGCCCTATAACTGGTCCCTCACCACTGCCTTGTTGCAAACAGTCTCTCGTTCTCTGTCCTGCCCGCTGCTCCCTTGCAGTGTATTCAATAAACGTCTATCTTCTTTGTTCTGCCTTGGGTGAAATCTTTCACTGCCTGGCTGCTGGCCCCCCCATCTGATTGGGGTGACCCACAATATACGTGTATATATACACATACACACACACTTTGTACACCAAACAATTCAGAAAATGCAGGGTAGACTATGTATAAAACTAAATAGCAATATATTGCACTAACAAAATATAGTTAAAACCTAAAGTTTTAAAGCATTGAAATAAACTTCCTAATATTATGTGATTTAAAAATATTCACTGTAGATAATCTGAAAAATTAAAAAAAATGACCTGTAAATCCATCTCTGATAAGTAATAATCAGTCTTACCATTTAAGTGTATCCATTCAGCCTCTTCCCTATAAACATAACAAGTGGCATACTCTTCTGATTTTTTTCCCTATTTCTACTATAATATGGCTATTTTTTTAAAAGATTTTTATTTATTTATTTGACAGAAAGGGAGAGAGAACAAGCAGGGGGAGCAGTAGAGGGAGAGGGAGAAGCAGGTTCCCCACTGAGCAAGGAGGTGGGGCTCAATCTCAGGAGCATGGGATCACGACCTGAGCTGAAGGCAGACACTTAACCGAATGAGCCACCCAGGTGCCCCTAAAATAGGTATTAAAAAAAAAAAAAGACTTCTTTATTTATTTTAGAGACAGAGCATGCATGCAAGAGAGCAGGGTCGGGGGGAGGGGCAGAGAGAGAGAGTCTTAAGCAGACTCCACACACGGAGCATGGAGCCCTATGCAGGGCTTGATCTCATGATCCTGGATCACAACCTGAGCCAAAACCAAGAGTCGGATGCTTAACTGACTGTGTGACCTAGGTGCCCCCAATATAGTATTTTAAAAATTACTATTATCTTATAGTATATTTTGATAGCGGGTACGATAAGTCCTTCCCCTCTACCAATTCTCTTTTGTCAAAATTTGATTGGGTATCTTGAACACATTTTCTTTCCTAGATTAAAAGCACTTTGATTAGTTCCATGAGAAAGTTTATAGCGATTTTTCCTTGGTATTTTTTCATGTGATAATGCCTGAGTAAGGGCTTTAGAGGCACACTGCCTGGGTCTGAATTCTAGTTCTGCTCTGTCTGCTATATCTAAGTTTGGGGAAGCTACTTAAATGCTCTGAGCCTGAGTTTATTCACCTTTAAAATGAGGATAACAATACTTTCTTCTTATAAGACTGTGATGAGGATCAACTGAGTTAATACAAGCACTTAGAAAGGTGCCTGGCATAAAATACACACCCAATATATTTTAGCTATCACCATCACTATGAACATAATTTATCATGCCATTAAATATTATTCTACAGTCTGTTGAAGATGGCAGCAGAACCCCTCAGCAAAACACAGAACCACCTGTGGGAAGCAGCACAAGGCCTACACTGGTTGCCTAACTTGCTTACACAAAGCTCCACCCCCCTGTGCTTAGGCAGGACTGCCCTTCTCAGTCAAGCCTGTCTCAGTCCCAGTGCAGTGGGCCCCTCCCCCAAAAGTCCAGTACAAACCCCTACCCACACCACATCTCTTGACCAGAGAGTTCTGCAGGGCCTCGGTTCCAGTGGAGTTGTTGTCAGGTCTCTTTTCACAAGTGGATCAGAGTACACCTGGTTAAAACTTGCCAAACAATGAATCATGGAGCACTACATCAAAAACTAATCTTGTAATGTATGGTGAATAACATAACAACAACAACAAAAAAGAATAAACTAAAAAACAAAACAAAACAAAAACTTGCCATATTCAGGCCAGGAAAGCCTTTACAGACCACTGGCCTGAAGGATAGAGCAGGCAAAACACAAGAGCAGGCGGAGCAAGATGGCGGAGGAGTAGGAGACCTGGATTTCGTCTGGTCTCAGGAATTCATCTGAATAGGGATCAAACCATTCTGAACACCTACGAACTCAACAAGAGATCGAAGAGGAGAGTAGCAACAACTCTCTGAACAGAGAAGCGACCACTTACTGGAAGGTAGGACGTGGGGAGAAGTGAATCTGAGGCGATATTCGGGAGGATAGACGGTGGGGGAGGGGGCCTCCACCGGCCGCTTCTGGCAAGTGATAGAGCCGCGGAGCACAAAATCGGACCTTTTAGAAGTTCGCTCCGCTGAGGGACATCGCTCCAAGGGCTAAGCGGGGGGGTGGAATCCTCCCGGGACAGTGTGGTCTCAGGACTCTTGAGGTCACAGAAAGACCGGGGGTGCCTGAGCGCAGCAGAGCTCCCAGGTATCGGAGCGGGGAAGCCGGCTGCAGAGACGGAGCCGAGGCGCGGGCTCTCAGCTCGGGGTTGCCATAAACTGATTCGTGGCCCAGTCGGGCCACTGCTCCTCCAGCAGGGACCCAACAAGCGACTGAGCCGGGGAGACTCCCCTTCCTCCCCCGGGAGGAGCGGCGCGGGAGCGCACCGCAGGGATCTGCTGGATTTGGAGACTCCACACGGGGTCGGGTGCCAGAGATAAAAACGCTCGGTCGCAGGCCGGGTGAGCACGGAGTGCGGCCGGAGACCGGGGAGACGGGAGTGACTGCTTTTCTCTGGGGGCGCACTGAGGAGCGGGGCCCTGAGTTCTCAGCTCCTCCGGGGGGAGATAGGGAGGCCACCATTTTCACCCTGGTCCTCCAAAGCTGTACCAAGAGCTTGCAGGGAAAAAAAGATCCTGAGAGCAAACCCAAGCAGCTTGCTTAGCCCAGGCCGACAAGGGCGGGGTAAAGACATTTGGAAACCACGGCAACAGGCCCCTCACCCAGAAGATCAGCATCAACAGCCAGCAAGCCAAGACCAAGTTTACCGATCAAGGAGAACGGGAGAACTCCAGCGCTAGGGGAATACTGCACATAGAATTCATGGCTTTTTGTTACCATGATTCATTAGTTCATCAAAGTTAATTTTTTTAACTGTTTTTTAATTTTTCTTTTTCCCTTTTTCAACCAACATCTTATCAATCTCTTTTTAAAAAAAACATTTTTTATTTTTCATTTTTAGAATCATATTTTATCCCTTCATAGTAGTTACCCTTATTTTTGGCATATATGTATAATTTGTTCTCTCTTTAAAATTTTGAGATACAGTTTCTTCTAACAGATCAAAATATACCCTAAATCACTAGTGTATGGCTTTGTTCTAGTCTCCTGCCTGATCACATTCTCTCCCTTTTTTCTTTCTTTTTTTTTTTAAATCTTTCTTTTTTCAAACAACTTCTTATCTTTTCAATTCCTTTTATAAAATCTTTTATACTTTTCATCTTTACAGTCATCTTCCATCCCTTCATTGTATCAACCCTTATTTTGTACATATATGTCTTTCTTCCTTTAAAATTTTAGGAGGCACATTTTTCTAACAGACCAAAATACGCCCAAAATCTAGTGTGTGGCACTGATCTATGCACTAGCCTGATCATATCTGATCATATTCTGCTTTTTTTGTATTGTTCTGTTTTTGTTTTT